AGAGAGAGAGAGAAAGAGAGAGAGAGAGAGAAAGAGAGAGAAAGGGGGGAGGGAAGGAGAGAGAGAGAGAGAGGGAGGGAGAGGGAGGGAGAGAAAGAGAGAGAAAGAGAGAGAGAGAAAGAGAGAGAGAGAGAGAGAGAGAGAGAGAGAGAGAGAAGGGAAGAGGGAAAGAAATAAAGAGAGGTCTATCGTAATCGAATGGTAATCGGTTACATTTATGTATGAAATATGGGACTAAAACAGCGAAAATCGTGGCTGAAGAAAGTGGAACAAAACCAGGTAATGGAATGAATATATGGATCGAAAACTGTTAGTGAAACGTATGTGTGAGTCGTTTTCTAATAGTGTTACGTAACTTACAACACATTTAGGTTATATAACTGCCGAAGATTAAAAGTGTTACAAGAGAGTAAAAAACACAAAGAAGGGGGAGAGATAAGGACGATCGATGTTTGAATATAGATAGGACAAAAGGAGCAAACAACACCAAAGCACCCGCCAACAATCTAAATAAAATTTTTGGGACGAAAAATTGGAAAAATCGTGTTTGAAGATAGTGAGACGAAAACGTGAAGTGAAACGCAGACGTAGGGCAAAAAAAGAGTAGTGAAATGAATAATTATGTGGGGCGAAAACGGTTTCAACGTACACATAACTCTCTCCATCCTAGTCTAAAAACAGCGGCAATTAAGGACAACGCAACGAATCAAACCCCCCGAGGAGAGCCCTCTAAATCAGGGCTTATCTCTCTCCCACTTTGCTCATCTCACTCACCCATGTTGGCTGGTACAGCCTAGGGCTGGACAATGAGCCACTTTAGCAAAATCCGGATAATGTATATTAGTGCACCTCTTCGGCAAATGATATGATATGAACCGCTTCGGCAAATGGATTAGAACCACTTCGACAAACGGGTTACTACCACTTCAGCAAATGGGTGCGTCCACTTCGGCAAACAGGTCCGGAAAGAAAGTTAAGAATCTGAATTCGGATAATGTTTCATTGAAAATTATCCGGTTATCCTTATAGATTATCCGGATTTTGCCCACCTCTTGTACAGCCCACATTTTGTTCACGGCACTCATGCCAGCCCATTACTGGCCCCTCGAAAATACATCTCTGTAACTCATCTGTGATGGCGCGGTTAGGTCCAGGTGTTAGGCGCTACACTGTAGCACATGCAGGAGACTCGAGTTCGATTCCCGAGTGGAAATAATTTTAAACGAGCGTCTCGGCCTTTCTGCTGGGATGTTGTAGTCATGTAGTCCTTGTCCACACCTCACTGACAAAACATACGTCCTCATTGACAAAATCTATATTATTCAGCTATGAATTGTTTTGATCACGTCTGTCAGAGCCATTGCTGGACACAAAAACTAAGTAGACAAACACAAAATAATAATAATCTTGTTCAACAAAACAAAACAAGCCTCAAAATTTAACAAAAACCCCCAAATCAAACAAGACCTAAAGATACAACCCCGCCCAAAATAACCCAAAACAAACAACAACCCCCAAAACAACAACAAACAAACAAAAATTAATTTAAAAAATACCTGTTACCAACAAATGGAAATCGAACCTACGTCTACACCATAGAGGCCGGTGTCTTAGGAAGTGTAAAGTCTACGAATTAAACCTACAGACCATAAGCTAACCAAACAACATGCATAGATGGATCACAAGGCTTTTAGAATGCGCCATTTTAAGGCATCGCAGATGGCCTGCTTAGAGGGTGAGCGCTTTGATTAACACCCTACTCACTTACACGTGAGCGTAAAAGAATGTGTAGGCAAGGGGGAATACTCTGCCACCGCTAATCCGCACGGACACCCCAGCATCACCCCATCTCCCCCTCTCTCCTCTCTCTCTCTCTCTCTCTCT